TATTCTATTCTATTCTATTCTATTCTATTCTATTCTATTCTATTCTACTCTACTCTACTTTACTCTATTCGGCATCTCTCTCTCTTTCTCTCTACGTGTGTGTGTGTGTGTGTGTGTGTGTGACCCAGGGGTGGGATTCAAAAATCCCAGCAACCGGTTCTGGGTGGCCGTGGGCATGGTGGATGCGGCCTACCAGAACTTCCAGGAGGGTCGTTTTTTTTGCCTTCCCCGGAGTCTGGAGGCTTCTCTCGAACCTCTGGGAGGGAGAAAACAGCCTCCCCCGGGCTCCGGAGGCCCTCCAGAAGCTGGAAACAAACCCATTTTCAGACTTCCGGGAGGGGCATTTTTTTCGCCCTCCCAGAGCCTCTGCGCGGGCCCTGCATTTACCTGCATCCAAAATGGGCTGCACGGAAACTCCTGGGAGGGGTGAGGCAGGCAGGGCCAGCCAGTTGGCTCAACTACCGGGTTCAGCGAACCAGAAAAGTAAATGTAATGTCCAGTTTGCCCAAACCGGCCTGAACCGGCTGAATCCTACCCCTGGCGTGACCTGTTGCAGCATCCCCATGGTCACGTGATTTACCTTTGGTAAATCCCCTTTTGCGACCTTCTGACAAGCAAATTCAAGGGGGAAAAACAACCGTGTCGCTAATTTAACAATAGCAGTGATTCACTTAACAGATGTGGCAAGAAAAGTCGCAAAGTGGGGTAAAACTCACTTAACCAATTTTCACACTGAGTAATTGAAATTTTGGGCTCAAATGTGGTTGTAAGTTCAAGACTACCTGTACGTATACATGTATGTGTTGTGACTCGGCGGTTTGAACCTGCTCAGTCAGAAGACACAGGCTCGAGTGATGAGGAAGATCTGGCATTAAGGTTTGAGCCTGCTTTGTTGAGTGACATAGACGGGAGTCAGGAGGAAGAGAAGGACTTGGCTCTAAGATTTGAGCCTGCTTTGCTGGAAGTTTCGGAGTCGTCTTCCTCCCCAGAATCTTCCTCCCTGATTGTGCCTCAGGTGTCGGCAGATAATCAGGAGAGCGTGCCGGAGTCATTGGCTGAAGATCAAGCCGAGAAATGCTGGTCTGATGCAAGGCAAAGACGCAGGCAGAAACGTGAAATACAACGTAAAAGGAAATGTCAAATCAGGGACTGAGAAAAGAGACTGACACGCCCCTCAGGGAATATAAGGAGGCGTGTTAGCTCTGAATCCCTGTTCGGGTCAACTTGTTTATTTGAGTTAGCAGTTCGGACAAATTATTCTGTGTGGCGTTCGCCCCTGATTTATGGTTCTGCTCGTTATCAGACTTGGTAGGCAGCTTCTGGGAAAACTGCCAAAGACGGATTCAGCCAAAGGAAATTAACTCTGTCGCTCCTGTTCCTGTCTGTTTGTGTATTTTCCTTTGGAAATTTGGACTCTCACCTTGTGGTTACAGGTGAGACAGAACATGTATGTATGTGTTGTAGCCTGTCGACTGCCAGCCCCTCCAGTAGCCGAATCAGAGGAGGAGGAGGCGTGGGAATCAGGGTTAGCATCAGGGCAACCTGGGAGCTCCGAGGGGAAGAGGGAAAGGAGCTGAGAGAGAGAGAGAGGCAGAGGCAGAGCCGGCGCCTTCTATCAGCCCTCAGATGGAGAGTCAACAGCCCGCAGGTCTGGAGGTTGGCTGATGAGGAAGAACAGCTGGGTCCATGCCTGACGTGCGGATGCCCAGAAGGCAGAGGAGAGGAGAGCAGTGGAATTCTATGGGCCGGTCCTTGGGACAGAAGAGCCACTGCTGCTAGTGAGACCCCACCGTAGCTTTGGGGGGAAAAAGGCAGGGGGCGGAGATGAACAGGTGTGGCAGACAACTATACATCTTCCGGCCGGCGGACTTGTTAGTCTTCAAGATATACTTTTTGCCGGGGCTGCCGGCATTCCTAATATAAAGGAATATTTTGAGTTCACTTCAGAGTTTGTAGTGTTTGGGGAGGTGGAGCAGAAGAGTATGTATAGCAACAGCGTTTATGCTTATATACTGCCCCATAGTGCTTTACAGCAGTCTCTGGACAGTTTACAATATAAGCATTATTTGCATATTAGACCCAACAATCTGGGTCCTCATTTTACTGACCCTTGGAAGGACGGAAGGACGAGTCAACCTTAAGCTAGTCAGGATTGAACTCCAGACTGTGGGCAGAGTCAGCCTGCAATCCTGCATTCTAACACTGTGCTAGCACTATAATTAGAAGAATTGTTTTGATGAGGTTTTGTCTGTCAGCTCACATCTCACATGCTGTGATGACCCGGGGCGTGGCACGAAGGCAACAGTCAGATAAGCAATAAGAGTCTATTACCTCCAACTTTACCCCCAATGTCCAGGTTACCTTCTGGCTGGAGAAAAACTCTCCCAGGAACAGCCTTTGACTGTAGAAAATTAAGTCCAAAACATGGTCAACACAAACTGTAACTTAAAGTCCAAACAAGCCAAACTAAAGTGATTAGTCTGGCAGGGCAGGAGCAAGAATTTCAGACTTGAAGGCACAGCAAAACTATCACAGTTGGGAAGACGCCAGGAACACAGATAAGCCACGATAACACAGGATAAACGTGACGTTTGCTCCCAGCAGCCTGCTGCACGCAGCCTGGCTTTCTTATCAACTGTCTTCCCAGCTGTGGCTAATGAAGGGAATCAGGGCCCTTTCCTCCCCCGTAAGCCACACAACCCACGTTGCTCCCTTCTCTGTTCCTCCCTGCGTGCCCTAGGATGAAGAGGAGGTGGGCCTGGTTCGTCCTCTGGACTCCTCCCTTGTTCTACCTCTCCCCTGCTCTGCCCAGACGGACTTTGCCCTTCCCCAGTTTCTTACACAGCCAACGGAGCCACATTCCCACTCCCTGTCAGCTGTTCATCTTCCTCCTCGGATTCAGACTCCAACAGAGGCATGAAACATGCTTTGTCCTAGGAGAAATAGGTCAGTGGAAAATAAAAACAGAACATCTGACCCAATTCTGATCTGAATGTGATGCAGAATGTGAGACCTTGCAAAAAAATAATAATAATCAACATTTCCACTACTGCAAAAACAGATGCAGATTTAGGAAGTCAGGTTGCTTTTCAAGAGATCAATAAGAAACGACACGCTCATCCAATCTGCAGTGACTTCTGAGGCAGCCATTTTGCACTTCACATCACCTCTTTGACAGCCATCTTCAAAGCTTCTCCTCTCGGCCTCTTCACGTAGCTCCAAGAAATCCCTGCGATCCTCCTTTAACGGCCTCTGAAAGTGTGAGAACGACCCAGTTCAGAACCCAAGGACATAGGCAGGGAAAAGGGAGTCCTGTGGGGAGAGACATTTACGGATCCCTTCAACCTGTTCTCGTCAGTGAAACAATTTCGATATGAAATGAAAAGATCAGTAGCCACATGAAAGCCTGTTCTAATACAGGTAGTCCTTGGCTTATGACTGAAATGGAACTGGCCAGTGGTGGGATTCAATTTTTTTTACTACTGGCTCTGTGGGCGTCGCCAGGTGGGTGTGACCAGGTGGTCATGTGACTGGGGTGTGTGTGTCAAAAGTCTTTCTTTTGCAGCCCCCCCGCGGCGCCCCGTTTTTGGCCTAGTGGGCCTCAGGGAAGCCTCCTGGGCGTTGAAAAAAAAGAAGCATTTTGAAAGCCTTCCGAGGTAAATACAACAGCAAGGAGAGGGGATCAGCTGTGCCCCGCGATTTAGATTAGCTAGAAAGCAAGAAATCTGACGACGTCCTGCTTTCTAGCTAATATAAATCACGCAGCACAGCTGATCGTCGGAAATACTAGTTCGCCCGAACTAGTATTCAGCGAGCTGGGCTGAACCGGCAAGCGATTCACCTCTGGAACTGGCCCATTATGGTCATGTACTGTTATAGTTGTAAAATGGATCATCATGTGATGGATCTGATCTTAAGATATCAAGTTAGAAACCAGGAGACTGTGACTTCTCGTCCCATCAATCTTCCTTTTCTTCCTTCCTCTTTCTTTTCCTCCCTCCCTTTTTCTCTTCCTTTCCTTTTTTTCTTTCTTTTCCTTCCTTCATTCTCTTTTTCTTTCTCTTCCTTCCTTTACTTCCTTCCTCTTTCTTTTCCTCCCTTCCTTCCTTCCTTTCCCTTTCCTTTCCTTTTCCTTTCTTTCTTTTCCTTCCTTCATTTTCTCTCTCTTTCTTTTTCTTTCTTTCTTGCTTCCTTTCTTTTCCTCCCTCCCTTTCTTTTTCTTCCTTTCCTTTCTTTCTTTCATTCTTTTCCTTCCTTCATTCTCTCTTTTTCTTTCTCTTCCTTCCTTT